GGCGCTGCAGCGGCGACGGCGAGGCACGACAAAAGCGGCGGCGGCGGGATTGGGGGTATTTAAGGAGGGGGGTTGTGGCTTGGAGGAGGGGCAAGGCGGCGGGGAGGAGGAGTCCCAGCCGGACTCCTGGTCTGAGGCGGCGGCGGCGGCGGTCTCCTGAAGGGAGACGGCGGCGCGGGGGAGCAGGCCGGCTCGGCTGGGCTTCGGCCCATTCGGGCGCTAAAACTTTTTTTTAATAATTCCGCTGAAACTAAAAAAATCCTAGAAAATAAAATAAAATTCTAAAAATGCCAACACAAATTTGCACCGTTTAAATAAAATATTTAGAACAAAATGAACATTTTCTTGGCCCTAAAATGCAACTTTGTAAAAACGTGCAATTTTTCTAATTTGAATAAAATAGCAATAAACTCCGGATAAAAATCAAATATTTGATTTTAATCTTTTTCCTCCAATATTTCATTTATTTTGGAGAAGTCATATTATCTCCTCTCATGTATTTATTTATGAAATATTTTCGGAGAGAAAAATAATTAAAACCAAAAATCTTCGTTTCAGTATTTGATAAAACTCAAATATGAAAACTGCGAAATCCTCAACCCTCTCCGAGGGTCCTTGAGTTGCTTAGGATTTCGAGGATCGCAAAACGAAATGCAATAAAATATGATATGCATGGATGATCTATGTATAACATTCCAAATTAAAAATTTGGGATGTTACATTCTAATATGACAGTGCACGCGTTGACATGCCCCTTGTACTGGCCCTGCCAAGCAAATGGACAGTTCTTCCATTCCCAGTGCATACAATCTATGCTGCCAAGCATGCCTGGAAAGCCTCTAGCTGCGTTGGTCGCCAACAATCTCTCTGTATCAGCTGCAGTTGGCTGCCTCAAGTACTCTGGACCAAACACCTCGATCACAGCCTAGCAAAACTTGTACATTAACATCCGACATGTTGTCTCACTCATACGCACATACTCATCCACCAGATCGCCTGGAATTCCATATCCAAGCATGTGGATGGCCGCGGTGCATTTCTGGTAAGAGGAGAATCCAAGCTTGCCAAGGACATCCGTCTTGCACTCGAAGTATGGGTCATGAGCAACCACTCCCTCTCAGATACGATTGAACACATGCCTTGCCATTCGAAAACGGCGACGGAATTTATCCGGCTTAAAGAGTGGGGTGTTGGAAAAGTAATCGGCATAGAGCAGTGCGTGACCTCTCTCCCTGTTGCGGTTCACGTTGAGAGCACGGCCAGGGACTGACCCCCTGTACCGAGGAAGCTGCCGTTGAATATGGTCTTGAATGACCAGTGCAGCCACCACAAGATCGTCATCATCCGACGACGAATCGTCCGATGAACAAAGAAAGTGATGAAAGAAAAACTCATCTCCACTGTCCATACCTTTGTTGGCAAAATGTCGAACACCTTACGGTCGTGGTGGCGAAGAGGCCGCGATGATCACCTCGACGCAGCAGGGGTGGTTGCCGGCCGGCTACTGGCCGCTCTGGAGCTCTCGTCGAAATCCGCCGCGGCCGCCGTGGTACGTCACCGGCGGTCGTGTCCCCTCTGCCACCGGCAAAGACGACGACGGCCAAACCTCCTCCGATCGACGGCCAAAACTACGGCGAAAGTGCGGACGTGGTGGCGGCCATGTCGAGACGTGGTTTGGTATGGACGGTCGGGGGGCTGCGCGGTGAGGAGGCGGCCGGAGAATAGCGGCGGCGCCGGCGGCGGGGCGGGGCGAGGAGAGAGGGTGGAAGTGTTGGGAGCGGAGGGACTGCTAGTGTCCCCGACAGGCGGGCCACGGGGGGTTACAAGGGCGTGCGTCGAGACCGTCCGCGCGCATCCTTTCACCCCAACCCGAGTGCAAGTTTGGGCTGGAGATGGGTCAAAAACGGACGGAATCCGGACATTTGTCCGTTTAAGGCCACGCGTTGGGCCACGCTATTCGTCCGTTTTACCCTAAACAGACGCACCCGAACAAAATAGGGTCGCGCGGTGGAGTTGGCCTAATGATCCCGTCTACAGGAGGTCGTCTACAGTGCTTGTGTACAATGCCCACTACAGTGTTTACGCTACAGTAATTAACCTGGTATGCCCGTCCTTCGTCCAATGACTGGCTGGCCGCCAGTCACTGGATCTCTGTCCGCCGAGGGTGCATGCGCCAATGATGCGCGCAAGGCGGCAGTGTCATTGGCAAAGGGAGTGCAGCGCCCGAGCTCCACTGCTCCCTATATTTAACATTTTAAAATTTGTGTTTTTGAAGTTTCAAAAAAATCTGAATTTTTTTCCAGGGATACATATACACATTTTAAATACTCGTGGCAAGTTTTGGTAGAAATCTCGCTTTGTTTTGAGCTATAGGAAAAAAAATCTGATAGTATATAGGAGAAAATGGATCTCATTTATGTCTGAAATTTCTCTTTTTTATATTTCTTAAAATACAAAGTATTTCTTTTTCAGCTTTTTACCAGGCCTTAGGAATGTGTGTATGTATCCACGTATTTGATTTAGGATCTTTTTAGCAAGAAAACTGTGTTTTTCAAAATTTTCAAACCAAGAGCAATGGAGACCGGGAGCTGCAGGCACTTTTCGACACACGCATTGTCTTTGACAACAACGATGGCAGCAAAATATAGCACTACATCACCTTATTATACTTGCTCCTATGATGCCCTTGGAACTGCCGCATCTGTTTGTGCACGAGACCAGTGAAAGAACGAAAAGCAGTAACTTGGCACAAGACGGGCACGAGTTGACTCATTTGTATAAAAATCAAGGCGTGGTAAGTTTCCCTGTTACAATGTACAAAAAGGAACGATGATATCGCACCATGTTGGGCTGCGCAAATTGCGGATACAAGAGATGCCCTGCCATCGGCTTAGTATGTGCTTCCTGTACAGCTGGGGCAGTGCGTGGTGCTGGTCCTCAACTTAAGGTCATCATCAACAGCCATCAGCTCCATGTCATGGGCTATAGGAGTCCCAGGGATTTGAGCTGCTGGACGTGCTCTGCAGGGAGTGGCGGCGGAGACCAATCTGCACGTTCACCGTCAACATCTTCCACAACGTACTCCTGGAGAACACCAAATTGGGGTTATAAAGAGGAGGAAAGACCATGATTGATCAACTCAGGGATAGCAGTGCTCGCCTTTGTTAGCATTCGTTTCGCAAGGATGTGGTAGTGTCTTTGCCAGATCCTCTGCCCTACCATAGTTGCCACCAGAACGCTATAGAAGATGCCGACAACCGTGAAGAGCCCGAGCACGATTACTCCCATGATGAGGAGCAATGGTAACCCTGCTTCCCCTGCACCTCCCAAGCAACCACCACACTCCCCGGCTGTAGTTGCACAGCCTTCAAAGCATGTGGTGCAGTCAGTCCACATGCAAAGTGTGCCAGGAAGATGGCAATCTGCACACATCCTGAAATGAAATAGGAAGGTGAGCGTACAACATACAGATGACCAAGCATGCAGCATTAACGGCTTAACAAATACGTATAATATAGTTATTGAATTAATCGAAACATACCCTGGCTGGCAGCAACAGAGGCACAGTTCTCGACAAGGCTGAGCCAAGTCACTCCGTACTCTTCGGTCATAACACGTTATGAAGCATCCTGATAACCCGAGTAAAGCAAAAAACAACAAAGCTCCTGTAAAAAGAATGAGATGCTCAACTCAGTTCAGAATTCAAATCGAATGGGCAACATAAGTGCATCATATATCTCAGCAACGTAGCCTCCATATATATTTAGGGACTACATAGTGCACGCCACATAGTATAGATCATAACACGATACCCTAGTATTAGTCCATCACAGCATAAATATAACAAACTAATGAATAGGTCTGGTAGGAATGAAAGAGCAACTTCAATCATTGACATGCATGTAAAAGGTAAAGACAGCTGATAGGTCTTTCCTATTCAACATACATCTTTCATCTACTTTGTACTGTATACAGTTAGCAAAATACATTTCCCCACTCATGTTTTCTTTTGCACACTGATAAACTCTTATACTTATAACAGAGATTGGCCAGATAGAATCTAATTGTATATTTCACTTTGTAAACCGTACAGCTCCCGTGCACTTGAGTCCTAAGGATGAACAGGGACTTGTGTGGGCAAGGATTGAACTCCACCCCACGCATTCAGACAAGGGCATGACATATAAATTCATTGTCAAACAATCATGCAAAACAGGTACAAGTAATAACAAAATGTGCAAATGATTAAGTTGTTTACCACATATATAATAAAAAGTAACTTCATTATCGAAACCCCAGGCCGTCCTCAGCCAATATTGCTGGTACCCATCAATAAAATGTACCAAATAAGCCAATGCAGAGATAACCTGAACAAAGGAGTGAGAAATACTGTTTATCACTCAATACATCATTAGACAAAGAATAGTGACACAAATATCAAAGACTTACAAACTGGACTAGAGCAAAGATGAATAATATATCTCTAGTAACAAAGAAACGAAACTTTAGTGTTCGCCATTTCCTGTCAGTGTGGACATGAACCCTCAAGTAATAAGGAGCCTTGCAGGTGGTGCAATGAGAAAATGCAAATCCCTCCTGTATGTGACAAAGCATCAAGCACTGTTAGTATCTCACAAGAAAGACACATTTTCATTAGAAAGGCAAGCTACAAATAGCTTAGACGAGTTGACAACAAAATGCAAAGAGACAGATGACTGAATGCTTTTGCATATGCAACAGGAAGAAGTTATATATTTAACTTTTTGTTGAACAAATAGAATTCATATTCCCAACAATTGAAAGAGAAAATGTGTATCATACAATGTTCAGGATATCGGTAGCTGGTACCATATCAGTCAGGTGGTGAGTAGGGATAAATGGGCGATTTTTCCAGTTAATCGACTGATAAATCAGCTATTTCGTGACCCACCAAGTAGTGATTAACTGATCAAGATGCCGATTAACTGGCCGATATTTGGACTAATGGTATCATACATCATTTCTACTCTAAACTATTGGATCCATCCTTAGAAGAGCATGGTTTATGTCATATCCAAGCCAACAACCTCCATATAGCCTTACCAAACAGCACATCTTCATTTTGATGTAGACATCCCAACATCCTAACAGAAAGTAGAGTTTCCAATACTAAATACCAAAATTGGACCTAGGAACATCTGCCTGATAAACTGGAACCATATTACAAAATTCCATAAGAGTGCATTGTCGGCCAAGGAAAGATCTGACCTACTACTGCATCTTAAATCAAAATTTCAAGGTACAGAGAGAGGATCAGTATATTCAGAATGTTCATGCAATAAAAAACTTTTTGTTTTGACCTGAAACTGTGCCAAAGGTCCATATAGCAAATTTGTTAAATGACAATGGAATACTTATAGGTGGTATTTACTAGTAATACAAACCTTGATTAATGCATTTTCAGAAGCATGTCTCTTTGGGCCAACAATGGCAATATCATGTCAATCATGGATCTACCTGATAGTGCAAGTTTTTTTTATATATTTTTTAGTTACTGAATTCCTAGTTACAACAGAATGCAGTTGCATAGTGTTCATCCATATGATTCATTGTTGTTGTAAAACTTTTATAAAAAATTTCTTCCGTTTAGACTGTGGACATACATGAATGTCCTGACTGTTCAATTTCCCCAAAAGCAATCTGGAGTTGCTCACTAGTCTCTACAATCACACTCGTAAATGGCATAACTTAAACACGAAAAACAGGGTTGTCACTTGTCACACAAAACTCTAATCAACAAAATAGAAGAAAGACACGGGCAGGATTGACTCCAACAGCAGGTCAAGAGCTAATAGGCCTACATGTTGAAGGCGAAACTTGGTGAACTTACCATATGTATTCTAGTTGTCTGTAACTCTATGTGATCCATGAATGAATTGATTGATTATTAGTACAATGCAAGGCAGTCATTCCTAAATGGCTACAACTCTATCTATAAGCACATACCAGGGTATAGCTTCCACACATTGTCATAATTAAGCTAAGAAACCACATTTGTAACCCTGGGTGGATCCATCACACAATCACATCGCTTCGGAGCTCCCGGATAGCACCAGGGCATCAGCGGAATGAGAGCGCCTACCTTGACCGCTCTCCAGTGGTCGAGGCAGTCGCGGTGCACGTACTTGGATGTCCCCTTGCACTTGCAGGGCGCGATGAAGTCTCTCCCTACACCGAGAGAAGCAGTCAACCCCTGGCAAAACAAAGAAAACACGGCCAAGGATAACGGCGGGCAGCGGCGGGAACAGCTCGCGCAGGACGGATCCAGCCGTACGTACCGTCGGTCTCGAGGCAGATCCGGCACTGGAGCTGGTCCCCGGCACCGGCCTCGAGGTCGATCTCCGAGGATGTCGGCGGGATCAGCGGCGAGGCCGCCGAGGACAACCCCCTGGCCTTCTCCTCCTCCATCAACCACTGCAGCGCACCGCCCGGAGCCCTCCCAACGAGCGTACGCTTCTAGAACCTTCCAGGATAGTCCATTCGGAACCCTAACCTCTCCTCTCTTTTTTTCCCTCGCCTCGATGGATTCGACGGGACGAGGAGGGTGCGAGGAGGAGGTTGGAGTCCAGTTGTTGGGGAATAGACAGGTGCGTAGCGAAGCGCCGAAGCGAGGTATATGTGGGACCGGAAACTTTTGCGACGCGGACATTGACAATTGACCAGGAAGCTTCCCGACGTGCTTTTTTAGCCAACCTTCGCGGCAGTTCTTTTTAACAGAACCTCGTTACATACTCACATACACTCTTTTTGATTGTTTGAATTGCTTACCATATACGTAAACATAGCATACGCTCATTCCTATCAAGGCACATAAGCAACTACCGAGTGAAGGAGAGGAATATAACTGTTAGAGTGGTGAGCTCTTGTGACGCGCCCCCCTCGTGCCGGCAGCGTCAGTTGCCATTGGAGGGGAGCTCCCGGCGCCGGATCTACCGGGGTGCGGATTGGGGGTGCCGGACCTTGCCGGCCCTAGCCGGACCGCCGGGGAGGATGGAGAGGCGGAAGCAGCAGGGTGACCGTTTCTGGCTCCTCGAGGAGGAGGCAGAGGAGAACGATGTGGAGGATCGAACGGGGAGGGTGATACGGCCACGAGTCTCTCTGATATTACCATTGTTGCTACTGCTCAAGAAAATATATTCGTTATTGCCATGCATCAGGGAAAGATGGAAGAAAAGGATGCTCTAGTTGAAGGTACGTACATGCATATCACGTCCTTCATGGAGATGCACTCACATAAGAAAGAGGGGGTGTTTAACATGCATGCATGGTCTAGGGAGAGGTGCATGTGCGTGCATGTAGGAGGCGACCTGTACACTAGTACGTTTGAACCAGAAAACAAAAAAGATAAGCAGGATATACAGCGTCCGGGCTGGTTTAAAGACGTGGTAGTGAATATTGATTTTCTATTTCTGTTCTTACCTCGTAAGGAAAATATTAATGATGTAATCGGGCTGATCAGATCATGGGATTTCCTTTGCTTATGTGTGTTAGGCTGGGGCCCACCAGAAGGAGCAAGACTACAAAGAAAAAGGTGTCTCACGCACCGTTTGTTCAGAATCCATCATATTTATGATTTACGTTTTTCTGGTAGTTTAGATAGACATCAAGATGTAAAAGGCAATATCAATTATATTGAGTCCAGATTAGTTTATTTCCATTGCTTGATTTCCAAGTTAGTTTAGGGTGTTCGGCTACAATATAAGGCAAGTCCATACGTCATGTAACAGCAGGTTATTTTGAGATGAATTAGACACCGTGTGTGTTCCGGCCAACGGCCATTATCGAGTTTAGAGAATTCTTGTCCAAAATCTCTACTGGCGTGTGAGTTCCTGCGACGCGACACGTAGGGGATTACAAGTTGAGCATATATGGTTCGTCCACGTTATTCCTTCGGTTCGAGGGGTTGGTGTGTTGTTTCCGCGGGATTTGCGAGCATCTTCGTAAACCTGCTACCATTACTAGCTGCGATGGAGGTTTGTGCCGTGAAAGATCGGGCCAACAAGGGATCGACCCTCGTCTCAAGGTTCGCTCCACATCAGAGGGCGAGGGAGGGGCCCATGACCTTGGATGCTACTGCTCCGGCCCTGGTAAGGGTGGGGCGGGCGCCGAGGAGGAGCCGGGCGAGCTCGTTGAAGCGAGGGACGGAGTGGATACGGGGGACGGTGGTGGATCTGAGCGGGAGCTGGGGCTCGCCTCACCGTGGAGAAGCTTGGCGGGGAGAATGGTTACGGCAGATGGGACGAGAAAAGACCTGGGATGGGTGCAGGTGCATCGGAGGAAGAGCTGCACGTCCAGCTGGCTCCGGGTTGGGCAGCGCAGGGTGGATCGACCGGCAAGGGGCGTTTGGGGCCGATTCCGCGGCTGCGGGGGGAGGGGGGTCTGTGCGCATCGGTGGAGGTGGGTGTGCAACGAGGGCCAGGGCCGCCAAGGAGACACCTGGGGCCGTTGGGGGGGCTCATCCGGTGGGTGGCGGCCGAGCGAGCACCGTCGGTGTTCACCGAGGAGGAGTTCCCTTCGGTGGGCCATCGGAGGTGGGAGAAGAGGATGGTGGGGGGTTGGGCCGTGAAGGTGGGCCGGTGTAACACCCCTAGTGTCATACTAAAGTAATCTTCTGTTAATGGTGACATGTCATCATGTTACTGTTGCTAATCTTCACTTGATCCAAATCACAATTCAAATTCAAATTCAATCTAAAGTCAAAAAATTCATATTTTTCAGACATGAAATCTAAAATGTTCATCTTATGCCAAATAATCCACAACTAATATTGGTGTGAAAGCACAAGTGCTCCCTAGGTGGTTTTGATAATTGATGACAACATATCTCTTGTTGGACTAACATTTCGATCTAGCATGTTTCAGATAAGTTCAACAATGGAGTGGCATGGACTAAAGGTTGTGGGAACCCCTTCAAGATGCTAAGGACAAAGGATTGGCTAAAGCTTCAAGCTCAAGACTCCTCATTTTACATTTTAGTGATCCAAGATCACATTGAGTCTTTAGGAAAGGTCAATACTATTAAGGAGGGATGATGTGTTGCTTAATGAGCCTCTTGCTTCATGTGCTTAGTGATATGCTCCAAAACCCTCAGCTACTTTCCCACTTCCACATATGACCTAAACCCTAAGCCAAACTCGGTCCTACCAATTCTTCCTATCCGGCGCCACCGAGTTCCACTTGTCATAAGCCACTGCCAAACCCTAATCATTTCGGTCTCACCGATGGGATCTCGGTCTCACCGAGATGGGCTTGCAAACTCTCTGTTACCCATTGCAATATTCTCGGTCCCACCGAGATATGAAATCGGTTCCACGGAGTTTGCTTGGCCAAATCTCAGTTTCACTTATTACCCAAATCGGTCCCACCGAGTTTGAGTAATCGGTCAAACCGAGTTTTGGATTTACCCTAACCCCAGCACATCGGTCCCACCGAGTTGATCCAGTCGGTCCCACCGAAATCTCTAACGGTCACTAGGTTTACATTTTCGGTCCGACCGAGTTTATTGATTTGGTCCCACCGAGATTGGAAAACTGTGTAACAGTTGGATTTTGTGTGGAGGCTATATATATACCCCTCCACCTTCTTCTCATTTGAGGAGAGAGCCATCAGAACACACACACCATTCCAACTCATATGTTCTGAGAGAGAACCACCTACTCATGTGTTGAGACCAAGACATTCCATTCCTACCATATGAATCTTGATCTCTAGCCTTCCCAAGTTGCTTTCCACTCAAATCTTCTTTCCACCAAATCCAAATCCTATGAGAGAGAGTTGAGTGTTGGGGAGACTATCATTTGAAGCACAAGAGCAAGGAGTTCATTACCTACACACCATTTGTTACTTCTTGGAGAGTGGTGTCTCCTAGATTGGCTAGGTGTCACTTGGAAGCCTCCGACAAGATTGTGGAGTTGAACCAAGGAGTTTGTAAGGGCAAGGAGATCGCCTACTTCGTGAAGATCTACCGCTAGTGAGGCAAGTCCTGTGTGGGCGATGGCCATGGTGGGATAGACAAGGTTGCTTCTTCGTGGACCCTTTGTGGGTGGTTGCTTCTTCGTGGACCCTTCGTGGGTGGAGCCCTGTGTGGACTCGCACAACCGTTACCCTTGGGTGGAGCCCTGTGTGGACTCGCGCAACCGTTACCCTTGGGTGGAGCCCTGTGTGGACTCGCGCAACCGTTACCCTTCGTGGGTTGAAGTCTCCATCAACGTGGATGTAGGATAGCACCACCTATCCGAAGTACGGAAAAAACATCCGTGTCTCCAATTGCGTTTGATCTCTCCAAACCCTTCCCTTTACATTCTTGCAAGTTGCATGCTTTACATTCCGCTGCTCATATACTCTTTGCATGCTTGCTTGATATGTATTGTGTGTGTTGAAATTGTGCCTAAACTCCACTTAAACCAAAAAGCCTAAAAATTGCAACTTTAGCATTAAGTGTCTAATCACCCCCCCTCTAGACACATCTACTTCTAGATCCTACAAGTGGTATCAGAGCTTTGGTCTCCATTGCCTTGGTTTAATCACCATTGGAGGAAGATGGATGTGTCTACTCTAGGGAGTCTTAGACATAGAGTGCCTATTCTTGATGGAAAGTATTTTCATGAGTGGAAAAATGAGATGCTTGTAATCTTCAATCAATATCATTTGAACAAGTATATTGCTAGCCCTTGTGCACCCCATATTGATCCCTTGCATCCTACCCTAGATGAAGATATTGACATGATTCGCAATCTTAGAACTATTGAGCTCATCATTAGAGGATTGCCCAAAAATTTGATTGCTAGTTTGCCTACTCAAAATTGCGCCTATACTATATGGAAATTTCTTGAGGAACGGTTTCCCAATCATTCCTTGAAAACTTTGGATGAAATTCTCTATAAATCTATTGCCTTGAGTAAGATGAACTCTAGTGATCCTAGTTTTGGTAAATGTCTTCTTGAACTTGCCAATCTTAAGCATGCTAAAGGAGATGTTGGAATCATTAATGATATCATACCCAAAGCTATAAGAATTCATAAAAGTGACCACTCTGATGATCATTTATCTGATGAATTACCCTCTCTAGGAAATGATGAATCACAAGATCATGATGAACATGAATATTATGATGATGATGATAGTGACTTCGATCTTGATGATGCAATGAGACATTTTGGTCTTATGGCAAATCTTCGGGGATATGTATTAGGAGGAAAGGAATGGGTTCTTGATAGTGGATGTACTGATCATATGACCGGAGATGAAGAGATGTTTCGCGAGCTTGCTGAAAATGACGGTCCTCGAAAATATGTCACCTTTGGTGATAATTCAAAGGGTAAAGTGGTTGGCCTTGGTAAGGTGGCCATCTCACATGATAGTTCCATTCAAAATGTCATGCTCGTTGAATCTCTGGGCTACAACTTACTT